CACACATTCCCACCCCATGCTCTGTCTCCCTGCTTCAAACCTGACCTGCACGAACCATAGCAGAAGCGAGCAGGATGTATAATTACTTTGCCTATTAATTCCTTTCCCTTTCTGTAAAGTTCCCGGCTTCAACATCACTCAGGACAGGACACTTGTCCACTGGAAGTGAATTATCCATTGTGTATATTAATGGGATTTACATTTCCTCTACAGCGTCCTCTGGTTCCTTCTATGTGCTCTTTGTTCTTTACACATCACTGGGGCACTGCTGTGCTGTGTCATATGACCAACTGCCACCAGCTTTGTACAATGTCTCTTCTTTTTCCTATTTCAGCTGTCACACTTCTCAATCATATTCTCTACCCTATTTTTGGAACAGATGCTGTCATTTTCTATATGTTTATATCATGCCTAATAGAGAAGGGGTCTGGTCTCTGACATGTGTCTCATTAATTTTACTCTTAGTCAATGATTATTTGGGAGGGGGGTGTTTTGTTACACTACATATATAATTATAGTGGATTTTCTCTCTTACTACCCTGATACATTGTTATGGAGAGTTTATTATTATATTAAAATCCCTGATAAATTATTACTGGAGTATTGGAGATTCCAATTACTTCCATTTCTTGTTAAAAAGTCACCAGATGCATCTCCCCGGTTTGGGCCGATCTGACTCTCTGCACTTAACGTAAGTGAAAACATACCTGTGTGCACACTTGCACGCCCACGGCAGTCATGGTGCTCACACAACTCCTCACTTTGCTCTGGCCCCCTCCAAAGTGGACATGCCAGATGCAGTAGAGCTGCTCCCAGAGGAGCCACTCCCACCTCTCACAAGCTCTTAAGTTCTCTTCTTACCAGCCAGAATCTTGCAGAAGTATTTTCAGAACTGCAGGTGCCTGCGATTGTTGGGAACAGCTTGCTTTGAGTTACATTGCCATTTCACCTTACAACAGCCATGCTCTCGGGGGCAATTATCTGTGTAGTAATTAGCAAGGGAGTTTTCTCTGATGCTGCAGCGTGATTCATGCAGCTTCCAAAAGATTAGTTTGTTAGTTACTGAATAAAATATTTGCAGATGTACTTTGCTGTGATAACATCTCTGAGTGGAGATGACTCGTTATGGATGCAGGCGTAAAGATCTGCAGAGCCAAAATGTGACTGCATAACCCTGAGTTTTAGGCTCCTCCAGCAGCCAGCACGGCCCCAGAGTCAGCAAGGGCAACTTTGCTGTTGGCTTTAACTTGCAGCAAAGTTCTTTGGTCAGGGATGGGCCAAGGAAAAAATCCTTTTGCCTTCTGCTCACTGCTGCCTGTCTATGGTAGCAGGGAAGGAGGGACAGCAGATTTGCTCTCCATGAGAGCCAGAGTGCTCTTCTGGAGGGGTAGGGGCGAAGATGCCAGCTCCTGTTGTGAAGTAGAGAGTAAAAGCAGGCCAAGTGATACCAAACACTTGGTGCAACAAAGTTTGTGCTTTCTTAGTATCGTGTTTCAGGGATTAAAGGTGAGCATGTGACTGCCAACTTGAACCTCATAAGAAACTAGTTCCCATTAGCGTCCGTGTTTTTTTCTTTTCCGTAGAGTCTGTATAAGCACTTTATAATAACTAAACCCTGTTATCAAACACTGTGTTGCATTGCAAACATGCAGCAGTTCTGCCTTTCACAAGTATCCAAGACATGGGATATACAACCTAATTCCTTTGTCTGGAATACTGATACTAATCAACTTTGATTAGTATTAACCTTAACCATGCTACTCCTGACTTGTACCAAAGTTAGCTGTAGGAGAGTCAGAGCTACAACCCATGAATGAGACTGGAATGGATTTGAGGCTATACACTTGGCAGTGTAAATTGTGAAGAGTAAGGTAAGTAGGTTTTAGAACTCATTTAAATTAATGTCTTCTGATGGTGTCTGCTGCAGGACAATGCTTGAAGACTCGTTAGCTAATAATTCATAGTGAATACGTGCTGTGCGTGACTTAGTGTGAGTAGGGGCTGACCCTGTTCGTGTGCACTGGGTTTAGCCATAGCCATCGCTGGAACTGAAAACCCTAACACACAGAGGAAAATGTGAATTAACTCTGGGACCCGTTGACCTCTGAGTAGAATCGGGGCATTGCTTCTTCAAAATGCATGAAGTGATCAAGGTTTTAGCAGATTTAGAGGGGATAACTGTTTCTTCTTGGGGCCCTGTGTAAAAACTGCTTGGGAATTAATCTATTGCTTTGTTTTGGCATCCTTTATATTGACAGAGAAATGTTAGGAACAAGCACATTACTGAAAGCTCCTTCTGTGGTTAAAGACCTTCAGTTAGGTTAAGACAAAGACAAAATAAAAATAAAATTCATTAATCGTACCTTGCCTACCAGGTTAGGGTTGTCTTCAGTTTTGTTGGGATAATAAACAGAGCATCTATCAGAAGCACTTGTTTCAGCAATACAAAGATGAGTGACCACTTTTCCTTTACCTATGTTGAATGGTTTACAGAAAAGACAATTCTGCCCCCAAATTTGAAAAACTTATCAGTGCTTGAAGTGGGTCATGAAATTCCTTCATGTTGCTCCTAATGCCATATTTGTGTTTAAGGATTTGTTGGCCTTTGTTGATGGTAGGTTCTGCTTTTCTAATTTAATTTTATTTATTTCTTATTATAGGCACACAGCTTGCAAATCTAATAATTTCTGTAAATAATACTTGGGGAGGCATCTGTTCCTTAAGGAAGCCTTAGAACCAGTGTTTGTTTTATTTATAAAATATGCACAATGTAAATAGTACCTGGAAGATCTTCTGCAAGGCTGGGGATGTGATGACACACAGGGACGTTATGATCCTTCAGGTCAGGCAAATCTGAATGAGTACGTGGAAGGAAATGTGACAGACTTTCATCTTTTTAGAGGCTTATCTGGTCACAGGTACAGTGACACTATGACAAGTGTTCCCTATTGCCTTGATAGCTAAAGGATGAGGTACAGTAAGTTTGCAGTAAGTTTGCAGAAGGAACCATATTGTTTATATAGGAAAGGAGTTTCTGTATGTGCATGGCTTTCTTTACCCTTGTGTCTCTGTACTAGATAGCAACGTCCTGTGTCACTACAGGTAAGCTGCCTAGATGCACAAAATTTAGTGGAGAAGTTGTGGTTTATGTCAGTTGGGGGTTTTCTCCTGTAAGAAGTAACCTTAGACAGAGTTGTGTCGTGTGACAGTTTTTTCTGATTTGCTTTGTTCTGGCCATTAGATCAGATGCACTCTTTGCACTTCAAAGGCTATAAAATGTTAAGTAAACACATTGCATATTGCATCCATCATGAGCTTACTTAAATCTGCAGCGTCCAGGGAAGAGATGATCAAAGGCACCCAATGCCTGGGGCCCCTGCAGAGGTAGAGGATGGATGAAGTGAGATAGGTCTGAAAGACGCCCATGGACAAGCCATGCCCCAGGAGGCAGGGGGATGAAAATCCTTGATTTCCCTCTAGGCACTCTGTATTTGGCAAATCTCAGGAGAGAAGCATCTGGGGATATATCTCCATGCATCCATCCTTTATTCAGCCTTATGCAGTCTCCCTTCTCCTGACATGGCCCTTCCCAAGTGTTTAGATGGTGGAGAAACAAGAAACACAGACAAGAACATGTCTATCCTATCCCCACTTGTTGCAGCACTCCTTCCTGGCCTTTTGGCCTTCCTGGCTGTGCAGTGTCCCTGAAGCAGGCAATCTGACTGTAGGGTTTTTTTGTTGCAAAGTTGCATCAAAGCTGCAAGAGGTTCTCGGAGGGCAACATAAATCTGCTCTTTTTCCCCATGGTGAGCTGTTACCTTTATTGCAAGATCAAAAGGGACACCATGACCATGTTCTTTTATCTTCTGCAATTTTCCCCAGACAGTGCAATAAAATATGTTATTTATTATAATGTATATTATAAAAATGGGTACTATAAAAGAGAGCTAATCCACAATTTTGAAGTCCAAGAATCTCTATTTAAGAACCATTTTATCTGTTTGGATGTGGTCCTGGGAAACTGGCCTGCTTGAGCAGGGGGGTTGGACAAGATGACATCCAGAGGTCCCTTCCAACCTCAACCACTGCTGTGATTCTGTGAACTCCATGTTAGTCTCTGCCTCCTCTGATAAACTGTCTTTATATTTAGTTCCTCACTGTTCAGTTCTTTATTATTCACATAGTCTGAAATCATGGCTACAGTAGAGAATTCTGAGCTTTTGGTTGGCTTGAGATTTGATAAAATGTTGTGTCTTGTTTATGTTTGAATAGTGGCTTTGTGCAGCTTGATATACCAAAGAAGGGGTGGTTAAGCCCCCAGTTTGATTTGCCACCGTTTTTACATTTTGCATTATCTTTGTATTGTGCACTTTCAATGTCAGTGGGACATTACACATGCATGGAGTTAAGCAGGTCAGGATGTGCTTTTCTGGGTTAGGATCAGAAAGTTTGGAATTCATATAAATGATCCCTTATTTATATTTTGCTAGACCTAAAGGACAGGAAAATAGGACTGTCATTTTCTGCTGATTCAAAAAATGTTATTTGGCAAGAGTGCTATTCCTTTCAACTGCAAAATCAGACGAAAGGCAACTCCATAAGAGGACAGAAGATGACTTCAGTTAGCTCAGATATGTTAATTTGGGTTATGTGTTACGTCTGTAGACAAATGATGCCAGCATAAGCAAACCTCACTTGATTCTTAACAATCACCTGCAATTTATGACAGAATTACCATGATGTAGCTCTTGGAAGAATCTTGATCAAACTGAACTGGGGTGACATGTTGTCATACAAAGAACAGAGATGTCTGTGAGAGAGAGAGGTAGAAAGAGGTATAATTTTATTCTCCACCCTTGAAAGTGAGCATTTTTAATGTCATTTCTTGTAAACAGTGTGGAATTTGAAGGAATTAGCAGCGGCCTAGTCTTAAGTAAAAGAAAGCAAGTCTTGAGTTCCTTCATCCATTCAAACAGAGCTTGAATTTTTTCTTTTGTAAGGGATCTTGGAACCACATTGTCCCATCTCCGTGTCCTGTGGATGGCTTGCTGTGGGCTCTCAGATCTAGATGGGATCTCCTCCTGCAGCTCTCTAAAAGTAAGTGTAGATGTGTCCTGCCACATGACAACCTCAAAACTGTCTTCAGTTGATACTCTTTCCTTGGGGTCTTTGTTCTCTCCTTACCCTTTGTTTTTTCTGAAGGACTTTGGTTGGATACCTTGAACTGCATGTGTTAGTTCAGAAGACACTACACTATTTTTTTAATGAGGTGGAACATCCAGGTCTGATCCTGAAGATGCCTAATGCAGCATAATGTTCATCACCATATTACCTCTAGCTATTTAAGGCAGCAATGGCCACACTTGAAAAATGTCCACTTCTATGCTAATTTCATGCTGTTGCATGTAATATTTCAAATATTAGAAAACATTTTGCAAAGCCTGAGTGTTACTTGTGCAGGCCTGTGGTTTACGTATTTATTCTGTTTACTTTTGCTGAGGAACTCTACATAGGCTATAACAATATCTCTGACCTGAGCCAGCTGACCTGGTTGGATCACCTTGAGGTTTTGGACCTGGAAGGGAACAATATTGAGGATATCAACCAGATGCACTACCTGGGACTTTGTTGCAAGCTCACCCACCTGACAGTGGAGGGCAACCTTATTTGTCTGAAGCCAAATGCAGAATCTGCAGAGGTGAGGACTTGATTTGCACATATTCTGTTAATTTTTGGCAGTGCTCTTTCTAGTTCGGGTTGGAAATAAGAAATGTTTCTGCACCTTCCTATTGTGTCATTCTGTGATGGCATGGGATGCATTTCACATCTTTCAGTTCTGTTGATTTTGTCCTCTCATGGGTATTGTCTCCAAGATAAGCCCTGTGGGAATACAAGGAGTGCTAGTAAAGACAGCCCTGTTTCCTAGCAATGTGTTCCTTCTTACCTGTGAGAATGGGATTAAACTAGAAATCAGCTGTTCTGATCCATACAGCTGTTCTGTCTTCTCCAGTGCAAACAGGCATTGTAAAGAAAGACCAAGGAGAGAACAGACCCCAGTTTTTATAGATCCTTTAGCCTGTAGGGACTTTGCAGTGGGCTAGAAAGGAGCTAATATTTTTCTTACAAGATGTGTCAGTTGCAATGTCTCAACTAGGTATCTGTCTTTGGGCTTTTGCGTTTCTTTTGGATGCTCTCTTGTGCAACAGCAAGTGCTCCAGAACCACCACGCTCAAAAGATGAACCTTCAGAAAAACAATGCATGAGATAACCAGGAAAAGCTGTATGGTGGGAACCGCTTGTTGTCCTTTCCCCTGAGAGGTTAAAATCAAAGGACCAAAAAGACCTTCAGCAGAAGTTGAAGATACAAAATACAGTGATTCACCTCTTACGTACTGAAATGATAAAATCATTTCTGCAGAGGTATTTCGTTGAGGGCATGAGATCCTGTGTGTCTCGGAGATGAAAACAAAGTAATACATGATCTGCTTTGGGTTTCATGGCACTTAACAAGAAAAGTAAGGAAACCGTCTCAGAGCTGTATTACTCTCTTTCACTTTGCCCTGCTTAAAAAAAAAACAAAAACCCACATTGTTGGGACATAAAAACAGGCATCTTGGCATACACTGAAAAGATTTAACTGTAGGAAAATGAGAGTTTAAAAAACTTGGTCAAATAAGACTGTTTCTCATTTCAGTCACATAATGTCCAACGCATACCATCGGATGACAGTTTATGGCAGACACACAAAGGTGTGTGATACAAGCACTCCCTGCACATGGCACAGTCCCCAGTGGCACTGTAAGGAGCTGACAGCGCAGGGGTTAGAAGGCAGAGCAGGGGCTGGTGCTGTGACTCTGCTGTGCTGTGTTCCACAGCTGCTCTGTGCCTTTCAAAGTGACCGTGCCCACGCCATCAGTTTGCCTAAAAGGTTGGGTTTCATATTTGTCCTGGATTTAGACTTGAAAACTGAGGTGCTCTCACTAAAACTCAATTATGTAGTAGATGTGTTCATATTTTAAATCCTCACACTTTTTAGATACTTGAGTTATTAGCATTTTTCGGATGTAATTGTTGGCTTGATCATATCCCTCAGTAAAAGGAGCCACAGGAGGTAGTGCTTTAGCTATCATAATTTTTCTCTCTGGAATCCGAAAGAAAATATTATACACTTGCTTTTCTGTTTTGAACTGGTAGAAGTACTTCAGAGACCACGCTTGGAACTATTTGTAACCAAAATGATTTCTTCATCAACATTTCTCCCTTATGGAAGAAGCAATCATGAGAAGAAAAAACATATTCCTGCAGTAAGGAAGCACTGCCTGCTTCTGATGGACAAAGCATGCCTGCTTGCTTTTTTTACTCCCGTGGAGACAAATACAACTTCTGACACTTCTTTATCATAGCTTCCTACCATGGAAATGGTGCAGGATACCCTAACAGCACAGAAAGTCTGTTTCTACTCCCTTGTCATTCCCGCTCAAGGGAAATGGTGTTTTTGGAGGACATAGTTTTCACTTGGCATCTTCAGTCCTTATATGTACTTGTCATGGAGAAATATCACTGCCCTTGGTTTGTTTAGCTGAGGAAAGCAGTCCTTGGGATGCTGCTGCGTGTTGTCACATAACAGGATCTCAAAGAGGAGCGGTATATGGTGGTGTGCCCTGCTGCTCTTCTCCACGCTCACTGGCTGTCTCTGCTCCTGTGAGAGTAGTTGCATTCAAATGCCAGACAGAATTTGCTGAGGGAGTCTGCACACCAGTACACTGAGCTGTAACAGGGGCAGACGCTAAATTCACTGTAGTCTCCCATCCAGTCTGTGCTGGGAATCTGCTCAGCCCTGGGGTGGTTACAAAGCTGGCCCTGCCCTCAGCTGCCAAGAACTTCTCCATGGGCTTTGTCACTTTCTTGGTTTCAACTGATGTTTGCATTTCTTCAGGGTATAGAAAAGGCAGCTGAAATATAGAAAGAACAGATGTGGGCTTACTTTGGTGTGCCCTAGATGGCCAGCTCTAATTCCTCAAGCTCCTTCTTGTAGTCTGGCCCTTGCTACCGCTCTGTAAAAGCTCTCCTATTTATTTACTTTTTATCTACAGAATGGTCCAGCTAAATTTACTGCTCTTTCTTCAGACGGCCTGTTTGCTCTCTGTAATTTGATTTTCAGATGAGCTCATCTTCCCCTGTTATCTAAACCAAGAGCAACAACCTGATGATAAATTCTGCAGCCTCTGTTGCAGTAATGTAACATGAGCGTAACGTGATGCTTCTCTCCAACAGGACATGGCTGGAAATTGGCTGTAGCCCAGGCACTGTTCAGAGTACATGTAGTACGGGGTAGCATGATGATTGGCTGAATCATTTTCTAAATTAAGATTAAAGGCTTATTTAGGGAAATTTAATGTCCACCTCTTAACAAACACACGCTGCATTTGGTGAGTCCCCTCTGCCAGCCCCAGTTGCATTGTGCAGAGGGAGGGAGCATACAGGCAGCCAGGTCCCACAGAAAGATTTCTGTTTGTGACAGCTCTGTGGTGTGGTGAATGACGACTTGGCTTTGTGGGGTTTTCTAATGTTGTATGCAATGTCTTGAAAAGTGTAACATTTGTCTGGATGAAGCCACTGATTTGTAGGTAGCTGTCCATTCATATTCTGCCACCAGCAGTGCTCTCTCTTTGCTTTCTATTTTCTTTAAGTAGAACAGATCGCCATCACATTTGCTGCCTTTTATAATCTGACACAATTTTAACCAAAAGTATTCCCACTGCAAAGCAGCTCAACCCAGTCAGCTCTGAGGTATTGCTAAGTTTTCCCAGGGACAAAGGTATCTTTCTTCTGCTGGAATCCACCAAAACAGCCCAATTCTCCGTGTGCTCTGAGCACAGTTATAACTGTTCTGGACTGGCCTTGCTGCTCAGAGGTCCCCAGGCATTGGCTTGTGCTCATGAATCATTTTATAACATGTCAGCTCCATCCACGCACGCAGAAGGGGCTGTACCTGTGCTTTCCCCCATGGATGTCACACCAAGTCCATGTCCTTTGGGAGCAACCACGTTGTTTTTCCAGCACACAGAAAAGAAACCCAAGTGCAGTCTGTTTGAGCCTTCTGTGTACCTGCTGTAGGTATGTGACCTCTTGCAGAAGAAAACATAGTTTGAAGTAAGCCATCGCTTCTAACACTGTATAAAATCACACACCAGACCCCTGTAAACTGCCCCAGAAAACCACTGCAGTTCATTCACTGTAGCTGTCTTATGGGCATGCCTAAAAACACAATCCATGGAAATGCTCTTTCTTCTTCCATCAGCAGGTGTAGCAACACTCATAACATGTTTTTGGGTTTTCCCATCACCTGAGTACTGATGCAGCAACCAGAGAATCACAAAAGCATGGGGAGAGGCTGGCTGAATGCTGAAGGTGCCCAGGCTTTCTGTGGGCATCGGTGACCTTATACGCTTTTGTACATTGTACATAATATAACACAGACAAATGCCAAAGTCACCAGGGGGTAATCAGCAAAGGAGCCTTTGTGCGGGGGGCATGTGTTTGTACTGCTCAGAACATGTTCACCATCAATTGAAGTAAAAATTACGCGAGGAGAAAGCACAGTGAAATGAAACTGGCTGTATTTATTTCTGTAGATTGAGGTGAATAGGTTTGCCTTATAAAAGGCTTTTCAAGTTATATGGCAGTCATACAAATTGAACACTGCTGTGCTGCTGGTGGAAGTCCACAGTCTGTTAAATAAACTGTTCCAGTGACCACTTTCTCAATTTCTCCAGGAACCAGATTATAATTACAGAGCTGAAATAAAAAAACTCATTCCCCACTTGAAGTATTTGGACGAAATACCAGCAAGCCAGACTGCTCTCCTTCCTTCCAAGAAGATGCACGAGGATTGGCGAATCATCAAGGAATCCATCAAGGAAGGTAGTGTAGCTGGAGACATTTCATGGTTAGGGATGTCAGGTTTTCTATCAGGGTTCATTTTCAGGTTATGATGTGTGAAAAAGAAAGATGAAGAGCAAGCTGGCCTCTTCAAAGCCAATGTTTAATTATAACGAAGGGACGAAGGTCATTGTCTTCTTCACCGGGGAAGTGAGGAAGCTGGAATTCAGCACAGTGCAGATTTAAATTAAAGCTGTCCTAAGCTGGACATCAAACTCAGAAAAATGCAGATGACTTCTAGAGCATCAAGCAAATCCAGCAGTAGCTGGGAGTCTGTTCATTCTGTGAGATGAGAAGAAGCAAAGCTTGGGAAGGAATTTTTCAGCAACGGCTGTTCACAGCCCTTTCCGTAGTAGCAGTCAGTCTCGTGTGGAGTGGATGTTGCAGGATTTGCTACTCCAATTTAATAATGGGAAAGGCAATTTGGTCATCACCCCTCAATGATAGCAACATCCTAGCAATTGAGATTGTGTGATCTCGTAAGAGATCTGTTCCATTTTCTTTGCCTCTGTGATTAAGTCCATTATATTCATTAGTAGAGCAAAAATGGTTTGAATATAAATCTGTTGTCCCCTTGCCTGTAGCCTTGGTTATAGTTCAGATGTCCATGCTTTTATGCATCATGCTATGCTACATGTACTTTACCACGTACCATTAAATATTACACAGTATTTCCTATAACTGCTCCTGTTACTTCCCATTAGTGTGGGCAGTGCAGTTGGCTTCCCAGCCCCCCCAGCTCTGGCCTGCCTGCCAACTGTACTCCATTAAAAATTTAGTTTGGTTTGGAATAAGTACATACGTTCGTCATTTATTTAATCCCTGTGGGTCCAAATCATTAGTTGTAATAGTAGTTATGGTAGGGAAAAAATCCATTAAAATCTGATCCCTCAGTGATCCTGCTTTGGCAACATCAGCTATGGTTCAGAAAACTAGTTATCAAAGTGAGCTGACAGAAACAGTAGGGACATAGCACAAAACTGTGAATTTGTATTGTTTCGTAGTGTCACCAGACATATTCTTGCCTTTAGCTCTAAACTGATGAGCTCGTATGGTCAGGATCAGACATCCCCATATTTTTTTCTTTCCTATAGAAATGTTGACTCTGGTACTTTTCACACACTATTTCATGGGTTTTTATTAACAACTATGGCCAAGATATTTTGATGGTTCCTAACACTCAGTTCTTAAGGAAATGGCCATATTATTACAGAGCTGATTGCTCCACTGTGGAGCTGGTAGATGCTCAACACTTCACAAAGCACGCTATTCGTCTAGGCACCAAAATGAAATTTGCTCTTATGGGTTGTTGGCTGCACATGCAGCTCTCACAGCTGTGCCATGCTCCCAGGACAGCCGGCGGTTAGGCAGGTGAGAGGACAGGGCTCTGTCTGCCTTTGCTAGCTTTTGTGTAATCCACTCTGCCCTGTAACATTCCAAAAACTCAGTTTTCTCCTTCTTTTCTGTGGTAGAGAAGTATCTGCCTCTGAGACAGTACTGGAAAAATCTATCACTGCCATTCCCAGATTTCCATAACTCCTGGTATGTGGTTTGCCCTGTTTGACTCTGGTAGGGTGGCCGTCACCATCTGCATTGTGCCTGGGCATTTGAGCAACATATTTTAAGACTGGGGGCTCGGACTGCATCCTGTGGCAAGCCTGCAGTGGTTCCCCCACAAGCAGGTGGGCAGGGGAAGTGGCAGAGCCCTGGACACTCAGCCAGCAGCCAGTCTCTGGTGCCCAGGAGCAGGAGGAGGGTGGGAAGGGACTCTGGCTTAGTTGGGGGGTCCCTACGTTCTGCCATCTGCAGAGGACAGCTAAGGGGACTGCATACAGCACCAGGAAACCCTCTGTCTCTAGTCTTGACCCATTCCAGCATGTTTCTTGTAGCACAATGACAGATTTTTCTGTCCCCTACAGCCCCTGCAGCAGCAGGTATCATACTGGCAGTGTACAGTGACGGTGTGGTTTGCAGCCTTGCATGACTGTGCTTACACTAGCAAAACCTCTCTCTTAGATCCGTATCTTGGGGCACTAGCAAGGCAGTCTGGATGCGGCCCAAGATCCCCAACAACTTCAAGACCTGGAAGTGCTCAGCAGTCTGCTAAGACAAGAAGATGTAGCAATGCCCAACTCTTAGACCGTGACTGTCCTCTTCCAGAGCACACTGTTTCTGGCGAGCTGTTCACAGACGATAACGCCAGTGATTTGACACATGGTAATGTATATTTTTTAATCCCATTCTTTCCCACACCTCCACCTCCTTCTGAATGTTGTTATTGCTGATGAAAGCTTGAGTGCTTTGAATACCACCCACCCATGCCGCTGCTAGATCAGGTTCAGCATATGTTTTCTTCCATGGGACTCACCTGCTCTAGTGTGGGCTTTCCGTTGTTTCCCCCTGCAGCAGAAGGTGCAAGTCATCTGGGCTTCCCCCTCCTCAGCCCCTCATCCCACGCATTACGTGCTGCCATCCCTCCTGACAGCCCCATACTGCAATGGTGCTGAAGTTGCCTTTCACACCTCCTGCACAGTCCTTTAAATTACACATCAGCCTAGCTGGGACTCACTTAAGTCACATCTGGGCACATCTTGTTCAGTCACAGGAATGTGAGGGGTCCAACAAGGCAGTCCTCCAGAAAGGTGTGGAGATGCAGTTTCACTCTCCATTGGATCGTGTACTCTGACTCTCTGTACTACAGTCCCTTACTGCAGCAGCACTGCTGTTTTTCCAGGGTTTCCAGGGGTGGGTCCGCCAGCAAGAGGAGTCAGTTCCTTGACTACACGTACCTGATCTACAGGCTAGCCCAAAATACAGGTGTACTGCTGCCCTTTGTGCCCTGGCCACCTGGAAGTACTGCCAGGTTAGCAGCTCCTGGGGACAGGTGGATCAAAAAGGAGTTCATTTCTGGTACAATATTTGGCACTTCCCAAGACATCCTTCCCTGGCTTCTGGAAAGACCTTGACAATGCAACTCCAGCAGCCCACTGAGTGCAGATTTGATAGGAAGATGTTTGGTGTTTGGTTTCCCAGCATGGTGAACTGCTGCTCTCGCGTGCCAGTCCTACCTCAGTTCCTTGCTGGAGGGAGGACCCAGGATCATGAACTAAATGAAACAATGCAATGTCAACAGCTGAGTGCTCATTCAGAAAAGTACGTGGAAATAGAGTACAGCTTGCCAGGGAATGAGACCATAATTTCACATGCACCTTTAGGCATCTAGCACTACTGATAGAGACAGTGTCACCCAGTGTTTGCTGCTTCTTCCTGCCCCTTTGCTTCCTTGTCTCTTGTTTTGGCAAGAGCACCTGCATAGCTACGTGGGGAACCTGATCCTGGTCGAGATCCAGCTGAAAAATAACCCAGCAAAACAAACAAAAAACCCGCCCAAAAATCATATTTAGTTTTAATCTGGATCTGTTCCTTGATCTGACTCACCACATGGCCACGCAAATGCTTGTACCAGCACAGCGGAGGAGTCAGGACAGGGGCAGAAGGAGACAGATTCTGGGTAGAAACAGAGAAACTGTCTCTTAGGAGCAGTGCCAGGCCATACCAGCTGACACTGTGAACCTATGCCATCAAATACCACATCTTCCTGTCTATGGGAAATTATGTTGACTGATTTCAAAGACAGCACCATTTGTTAAACACTGGAGTAAAATGTTTTCTTTTTTCCTTTTTTCTTAGGACTCAGTCAAGTTATATGTGGGAACCCCACCAAGGCACTTCGTGCAAGGAAGCAAAAGCTGGGTGTATGTTTTTCCTGTATACTTTGTATTTCTGCCTGGTGACCCCCATAAATCATGAGATGAACTGAACTGCCATGGTATCTTGTGGCAGCTCAGTCTCTTCTGTAGCCCAAAAGCCCCCCAACATGCAATTGGCCTTGAGGAGGACAGAGAGTCCCTTGCCCTGATGCAAAGGTGCCCATGTGCTTGCATCAGTTAACCCTCAGCTGCAAAGGAACACATGAAAATCACATATCAGCTGCTGGCAGCGTATTTCCTATCATCCTGGCTGAGCAAAGCACAAGGCAGGATTGCAAAATTTGACAGTATTTCTACAACAACTATTAAGCAAAAGATTTTTTTTCAGCAGTTTTTCTCTGACATTGGCGTAAACAGTCAGATCCCTAATGCTGCAAGGTCGTTTCTGTTGACTAAACAAACGCAAAGCCAAAGTGAGTTCCTCTAGGCAGTGGGGTGGTGCCCCCGCCCTGCGGGTCAGCCTGCTCCTGTTGGCAGTAACGTAGTGAGAGGGTACCCATAGGTTAAAGGGGCTCAGTCTGGCTCGTCATGGTTGGCTTTTGTGGGCCCTGAGGCTCAAGGAGGCACAGATGCATGTGTGTGCGTTGAAGCAGGTTCTGTTAAATCAGGGCAACAGCACGCACAGGACACCTGCATCACTGCGCTGTCAGCAGCCTCACTTAATGCTGACAACAGATGTTAAAGAACCGCTGGAAAAAATGTGGCCCTCCCTTGTCTCTCTGCTGACACTGCCCAAGCACTGGAAGCTTTGCTGGAACAAATTTGAACATCTGAGTGAATTACTGTGTGTTATAAACTAGGAGTTGGAAGGGGATTGCGGTCATATGCCGTTGATTGTTGCAGTTTTTCTGCTACTTGTCTTAGTATGCTTATTGGTACAGATGCTACAGGCTCATACGCCAGTGAGAGATCAATCAACATTTTTGTTACTGCCACCCTGGGTTCCTTGAGCTGTAACGTTGCACATGACTGGGGTGTGGGGCTTCTTAAAACCGCAGAGCAAGAAAATGCTGAGGGGTGACCTGAAAACCCAGGAGTAACAGTGGACTTTGATGCCTTCTGAAATCCACGATCTAGAAACGGAGCTGGGCAGAGCTCCTAAGGTTATCGAGATAACTTCTGTCATTTTTGCAGCCACCTGCAGTGAGGCCTTTGAAACTGTGTGGTCTGAGGACGGAAGACCTTTACAGCTCTGGAGTAGGAGGAGACCTGCAGCAGGAAGATGTGTTCTCTGAACCCAGAGAGCAGCACAGAAGGTGAGGCTGCGGTAGGAATCTTGTCGGGCAATAAAAGGGGCATTCATTTGCTGCTGTAATAATAAAATAAACTCTTTGGCCACCTGGTGGCAGTTTCAGGAGATAGTCTTGGCCTCCTGCCTTCGTGTCCCTGCGGTGGCAATCCTTCTGTCCGTCCTCCCTGCTGGAGCATCTTCGGGGTGGCCAAGGGAGAGGAACCTGGGGGAAGCTCTGACCTCTCTCTAGAGGAGGCTGAAGGCCAGCGCAGGCAGGATGGGCTCAGCAAGGAAATTACTTTATAACTGGTAGGACATTCTGGGCCCTGACAGTGTCTACCTTCAGGTAGTAAAAGAAGTGAAAGTGGACAAGGTTTTTTGCCGGCATCACATTGGCCGAACCAAATGAAAGGCTGGAAGGAAAATAACACCATGCTCAGATTCCCCCATCTCATAGACAGATAATGGTTGTTTTGGAAGTAAAAATGGTTTTATTTCTCTGAGCTTACTTCCCTGTGTGGTATTTTAAATCTGCCCCATTTCACTTGATTGACTTTAGGACACTGTCAGATAATTAGACACAGGCAACTTAGATGGCTAGTCCATTTAGAATTGTTTTCCATATCTCCAGAAAAGTGGGAAATCATAGTGGGTGACTAAACCCACTGCCTCGGTGTTTGCCTGTGTGGCTATGTCAAGCTGCACTTGCATATTCACAACTCAGAGACTAACTAAAGGTGTGATACTTGATGTTGTGCAGGTGCCTGCAAACAGGTCAGCAAGAAAAAGCTTCCCGAGCACTGAAGATAACTGGTGGTGATAAGGAAGAGGGTGAAGTCTGCAGCCTGACTGACAGCTGTGAAGAAGCCTTGAGGAAGACCAGTGATGAGCACCTCATTGAAAGGATTTCACTTGATTCTTCTTGCCACTCCTGTCTGTCCCAGTCTTCCTCAGGTACTGGACCTAAACCTCTGAGGAAGGGCTAGCATCAAGTAGTGACACGTGCTACTAACCGTTTGTAGATAGGTGTTTTAGTAACTGCAGTGTTTTATGAGATCTGGCTTCTGTGCTCTAGAGCAGCAATTTGGAAACATCATTGCAGAGCCAGACCCTAAATAATCCATTCCAGTTTTTAAGCAGGACATGGTGGCCAGTTGTGTTGATCATCAGTTGATATATTTCAGCATGGATCTATAGAATTAAGAGGAAAAAAGCTGGTTTTGCACCAGCTTAGAATCAAGTTTAGAAGGACCTGCCTCTGTCTTTTACCTTGTGTCATTAATTTATGTCAGTGCCACATGAGTCTAAAATACTGTCATTCCAACTGAGCTATATTTTACCCCAGTTGGCACCAATGGAAATAATAGCTAAGCTAATGATCAAGGTTTAACTGGGCAACTGGGAATTCTGGAAAGATACACAACCAAAGGGATGTGTTCAGCAAGGACTTTAAAAATGAAACGTGCTCTTCTACTCAGGAACAAAGCCAAAGGCCTCTCTGGAATTGCATTTACATGAATGAAAGCAGAATTCCCACTCTTCACTAGTTGTTGAATATCATATTTAAGAATATTAGAAGCATTAATAATGGTTATTCAAAATACATATCAAGTAGAGAAGCTTACAAAAGTACAACTTTATTGTTAATAATCACTTTTTTTGCCTTGGTGAATAGTAGTATGTGAGTGTTTGTTTTACATTTCTTTCAAGGGCAAAAATGGATCTATTAAAATTTGGGAAAATATTATATATTTTGGAAAAAACAGAAGTATCATTAAACTCTGCAAAGCCTCTGGTGTATTAAGAGTAATACAAACAGTATCTCCTTAACAAGAATAGAAGCTGTTTGGAAAAATCTAAAGGAATGGCCTATTGTCCAGTGACCACAGAAGTCTATGATCTCACAGTCTCATTAAATTCAATCTGATCTTTTTTAGATTTAGTAGTATTTCATTAGATTGAGTATGATTTATTAAGATCTCATCATCTTTTTGAATGGAGTGGACGAAGCCCCAACCATATCACACTATTCCAGTGCCATGCCCTATAGGACTATGAAAGTGAATGGTTGGGCATAGATCTGCCCATCTTGTCACCAAATCTGCTAGGATTTGGTGACAAGATTGATGGAGTGGTTTGAAATTTAGTATTACCTAAGGCAGAGGGGGGAGGGCAGATGACCCATATCCCAAATCACAAGCAGATGGCCATAATAACCAAGATTCAAATAATCACTTTGCCCACTGTCGCTAATAGATGTACGTGTTTTGCAGAGCAAACACCCAATAAAACTTTATTCAGCAAGGCAGTTAAAAATACACTCAGCCTCTGTGACTTGAGACTGTGTCAAGATCTGGAGAGGTATTTAAATACCTCAACACTTGACTTCAGAAGTGTGTCCTACCCGATGTGATTTTCTCGCAGAAGAGCTCCTTGCTGGAAACAATCCTTCTGACCGGGAAAGGACAAGTCATCCGAGCAAAACCACTCTTATGTAAAAGTGTTTGCAGCATTGGATCCGTATAATCTGCACTCTTTGGAAGTCATTGAGTGTTATTTCAGGCTCTTGAGTCGGGCATACAAGTCTGTCAGAGTGTCTTCACTTAAATAAAAAACCCTATGAAATTTATACATTTTTAAAGCATATAGTATGACAGAAACTGTTCAGTAAAAATTTTTTATCAGCATTATATGGTTACCTAAGCAGTAAAATACATCCCCATCAATTAGGAGCTATAAAGCTGAGCTTTCTGGGTCTGGGTTTTGGTGGCACATTCTTTAGATTGTATTCCTGCCCTGGACCCTGCACATCGGGCACTTCGGTATAGTTGGTTCTTTTAATAGACAAGAGCAATTGGATCCCTGCTATATATAGAATGATTTTAAGCATATAGGCATGCACGTTATATTCATAAGTCAGCAACAAGATTTTTCTTCTTTGTATGTTGTCACCTGAGGATTACATGGGCTAAAATATGATCAGCCAGATAGTAACCCTGCATGTAGTACAATATTTTCCCTAGCAGTCGGGCACTTTCCATAACTTTCAGGCCAATCTCAAAATCTTATTCTTACACCTCCACCTCTGATTAAAAAAAGTGGATCCACTCATCTGTGATTATTCCTGTGCCTTGAATTTCACATCGCTGGATGGAGTGCTCAGGTATTTAAAACAAGTCAATGCAAACCTGGCCAGGAATGATGTGGCCATGATCCTGACTGAGAACAGGAGGGTGGGTGAGCACCCCTGTCCCTCTTGAGCTGTGTATGGCTCGTGAGCAGTTCCAGTGCTTGGCACATCACCAGCATACGGGCAGGGAGGCTGCCAAGTAACCCACACCCCTGTGTGCCCTGGGCCACATCTGCCCACCCAGCTCCATCACACAGTGCACTCCGAAACCTTTTGCTCTCTGGGGTAGTTGTTTAAGAGTAAGATGAACTGGGAAATCACTGTGCTTCCCCCTCTTTTTTAGGTTTATCACAGGCTCAGGAAGGTGCAGTGTTCTCCAACCTGAACTTCTGTCTAATTCCATCCCCTCCAAAAAGCCCTTCACCTGCGTCTGTAACGGGTGTTGCAGCAAGACCCTGGAAAACAAGGCGCCACAGGGTAAGATGCCTAAAAATACCCAGCCAAGAGGAGGACAGGCAGTGGACACAGCGATGCCAGTCAAGGACTCATCAAGAAACTTCAGCCCAGCCTCTGGGCAAGGAACTTGCTCCACTGAGCCAGCCCAGCGTGCCGGCTGCCTCCGGCTCCCGAGGGCAGCGCCAGCCTCCTGGGAGCACTGCCTGGCAAACATCTATTTCAGGACCAGCAGCTGTTGGATCCATGAGCATCAGGTATGCACGCTGCCGGCAGCACTGCCTGCAGCCTGGCTGGGGAAAACAGAGGGGACTCCACGGCAGGCTTCTGTCATGTCTCTGGAGTCTCCTGCCTGTTCTGTAAAAAGAATTCCTTTTATTACATTTACCTTTGTCCATCTAATGCTAAATGAAACAGTTTCTCATATTCCTTATAATTTGAGCATTGGAAATTTTGTATTTTCTTGAATAATAGCCCAGAATTTTCCTGTGTTCTTCCTGCTCCAGTCTCATGTTCCCCACACAGGGCTGATGTGCATGTCTGTTGCAAAGCTCCTGTAGTAGTGCTTGTTCAAGTCTCTCCTCGGGTACACCCCAGGGCAAATTTCTGACATCCCACTTAGGTTTTTCTTTTTCCCCCTTGAAGCTTACATTAATTAATGTTAGAAAGAGTTCTGCAAAATAAAGTAGGCATTAGAGAAGTGTCTCATGCACCAAAACGTGGTTATTTCTGAACCCACTTACTGTAAGATTAGCATCGTGTTGCTTCTTTGAAGAAATGAAACTGAGGAGTTGTGACATGACACCTTGATTTTGAAGTTAACCTAGTCATTATAGAGCAGTAGAGGAACATGCCTTGTTTGGGAAGCTGGTGTGCCTTGTGCTGCTCCCAGGCCTGGCAGCTTTCTATTCAGTTTTCAGAGTGGGAGAAGGCAGAGCTAGTGGGGAGAAGGCAGATATCCAGACCTGGAGTGCAATTTCACCACAGTGCATCTCCATTTTTCTCAGGCCCATTGTGGGTGAGAGCCCTCCTGGAAAGATGAACCACCACAAGACAGCTGTCTGCTCACCCCCAAAAGCCTCAGAGAGGCTGGAACTGATGAACACTGCTTGGCCCCTGACGGCCAGGGCCATGCTGCAGTCACTGCCAGACAAACCCGCTGCCTCAACAACATCTCAGAACAAAAGTACCAGGTCCTAGAAGATACCCAGGTGGCAGCGTGTATTGGGGCACAGTCTGGAAGCACCGATGCTATCTTTCAGCTGCTTCTGCAAGCTAGACACAGAGCTGTGCAAGTAGAGCAGTTCAAACAAATGACATGATTTGCCTCAATTAAGGCTACAGCTGCTCCAGAAATACTTGCTTTAAAGAGCACCCGCTGATCAACAGAAGAGCTAATCAAACTCTTATTACAGAAAAGTGTGGTTATTTTTGCAGCCTTCGTGCACTAAAACAGAACAAGTCCTAACGTATTTCCTCCCATCCACACCATGCCCTGCTCTGTGAGTCAGGCAGGGACACTGACCCAGACAGAGCACGGAGCCTGCAGTTTGTGGAGTGCCTGGAGGATGTGAGGGCCATGGGGTGCCCCGCCCCACCCCCAGCAGCAGCCCCTCCACATATCTTTTGCAGTCCTGGATGTTTAACATACGAGGGACAAAGCCAAGGGCTGGAGAGGAAGAAGAGCCGGGAAGGCTGGGTGGTTTCAGAGCTTATGCTCCCACAGGAGGTCACCTCGTTCCCAGGCATCCAAGGTCCTTGTTGCCTGCATCTCTATGGCAGTGAATGCTGACCAAGTGGCTCATCCCAATACTAACATCTGTGTTTGCTTTGTAGCTACCTGGAAGGATTTCTCTTGCTCCCTGTGGAGAGACTGGGATTGCGTTAGCAGAGCTGACCTCTTTGAGCAGGTGTCAGAGCATCCCCTGCCTGCACCTTTAGAGCCGAGCGTCCCCCGTCTAGTTTTTTAGGTCAAATAGACTTTCCAGTTTCATACAACTGAATAACTCCAAGTAATGCTGCAGAAAAGACAAGGCAGGGAAGTAAGGGTATAATCTCTTGTTTTTCCAATAGGACATTTGCTTGATAATTGAAGCCATCTACTTCTTCCTTCCATTCTTCACCAACGGGATCTCCACGTAACGCCATGATGTTCTTCATGCTTTATTTGCTTTATGTTCGGGTGAGATTCCAAACATCTGTTTTAGTGACTGCAGACTGTGAGATGCTGATCCAAATGATGGTGCCTTACAACTTTATTGATGTTGCAGTCTGAAATGAAGCACCATCACATTTTTTTCCAGTTTAAATTACTACGCTAGCTATATATTTTTAAATCAGTTGATAAAACAGTAATTACATGATGAGTTAATGAATTGGTTTCTGTCTTCTTTCTACTGGTCAGCTTAACATAGAGAAGCAAAATAACAGAGAAGGCCCCAAAACTTCATCTTGTCATGGTGATACTTGCACCACTTTCTCCTACAAAATAGCCTGGAGTATGAAGCTGGTTTGCCCAGTTTTGATGAGTCCTAGAGGAAATAATTAATCAAAAATCAAAAACTATGTGGCATGTGATTCTGTGCAATACTATGGATGCAGGCAGGATTTCCCATCAGATGTTGCCCAGCCACAGTGCCTGTGTGCTTAAATAGGCTCCTAAAATTGACTCTTTGCCAATGTTGCTGACCATGAGCATCACCAAAAAAAATCTGACCTTATGAAAGAAAGAAGAAAGTGGCAGCATAGTTTTCAGAAATGCTTTGCACCCTCCCCTCCTGCTTGAAGTCTGCAGCCCTTGCTGGCAGACAGCACTGGTGACAATCAGGCCCTTCTTTACAGCCAGGGTCCTATCAGTGGGTGAGGGGTAGGATTGTCTTCAGATATTCAGAGCCTCCTTCTCAATTTGCATCTTCGATTTCAAAGGGACTGAGGGGGGAAAAAAAGCATAAGTGAGTTTTTGTGTGTGGAAACTGGGGCAGCTAGACGGGTCTGCACATGTGCATCTGCAGATGCAAAACTCTGGGTCCAGCTCTGGGAAGTACACGCGAGCTCATGTCATGGCAAACACGACTTGGAGGGGCATGGATGGGGCAAGGAGCTTCTCTGTGGTGGCAGAGAGGGCTTGGAGAAATGGTCAGAAAAAAAGCTCTGCCCTCATGTGTGGGAAGTAAGAGTCACCGAGCGCTTCATGAAAACTGTTTAACTCAGGATTTCTTGTGTTAACTTGGCTTCAGGTACCCCAGTGATAACTCTCAGGGGTACAGGCAGTCTGTGACCTTCAAAACAGCCACCCCATCACTTGCTAACCAACTCTACCCCACTGGTGGCCTCGCCGAGGCAGTTGCATGCTGTGTAGTGGCGTGGCACGAGTGCGCAGAGACAGGAGAAGGTGCCCACTCTACCTGTTGGTCACTGCCTTGGCTGATGGCCCAGCACATTCCCAGGTGCGTATGGGTAGGGATGGGTATGTAAGATGGGGTTGAAGCCTTGTGCTCTTGTGTCCTGGCAGGGCCACCATGGGGATTTAGAGCTGACTCGAAGGCCTGAGGCATGAAGCAGTTGGCATGAGCGCTGCAGCTTTAGTGGCACTTGCTGGGGTCCCTGGGTGCTTGCAGAGCAGCTCCCTGAGGCCTCATTTGAACCTCGGGGTTATGTGCTGGAAAGCAAAAGCTCTGCTCTCAGATGGACCTTGCAGGCAGGAGGTGTGGCTTTCCCGAGGTGGATTTTTCCCAAGTTTTCCCATCTGTGTTACCCAGCAGGTCAGAGACTGTTTTCAGGCATACAGAGAGGAAGGTGAAGTGACTTGGCAGCAGAGCAGTGGCACCAGTAGGAATCCAACCTCCCTCCATCGTGCACACACCTTGTTAATATGGTTTTGGCACAGGGAGCTGAGGAAGACTCATCGGTTCTCCACACATGAAAGCTTAGCAGGTAGCAAAGCCAGGCATCGGTGGACAGCTCTGACAGAATCTTTTTTGAGTTTTTTGTGTGCCACCTTCATTGCACCTTTTCTGGGTGATCTGACCTGCTGGGTGGTATGTGCAAGAGTATGTGCTCTGAAGCTGAATGCCTAATGAGACCAAGTGCCAGTCTGTCATGCATGGAGCAGCGGGGAGGCTTGTTAAGAGTGCGATCACAGCCTGACCTAACGGGGAAGAAGTGCTGGTAGCCTCCTCTTCCCCCAGCAGCAGGTACGCCTCAAGGCTTCCCAGGGCTGCCACACTGCTGTCTGTTGCAGTTTCCAGGACAAGCAAAATAAACAGGGCTGTTACAAATCAGATCTACGCAGCTATAACAGATCCACAGAGCAAACTGTTGCTCGGGTTTTAGCCTCTGCTAATCCACCTTCTGCCTTTTTCATCTAGAAAATATAAAACCCAGCCAGGGCTTTAAGAGGCTAATTAGGATATGTCAGGCATGATGGGCTGCCCATGAATTCAATTCTCTTGGCTCAAAAGGGAAATGTATGGGGAGTTTCACTGTGGGTTTTCTTGTCGCTGTTTCCTCTGTTAAAATGCTGCTTTGGTCCCTTGAATCTGGACAAAGTCATTTCATGAATGAGCTGATTCCCATCCCTGCCTTTGCAGACTCTATTGATATTAGAGTCTTAATAATACTCTGATAATCCAAGGTAGGAGCCTTGCTTCCAGTTGGATGTGACCAGTTTTGGATGTACGTTACCAGGGACAATCCCCTCATTCTTTTAATGGGCCAGGAGCTGCTGATGCCTTAAGTATCTTTCTGCCTTAATGGGTTTTGCTGCCAGCTGCCAAATCGATATCTAGTGTGTAAGCAGGAGAAAGGGTCAAGAACTGCTCCTCCCTCACCTGTTAATGAATCAGCACCGCAGGGAAGAGTTTCCTTCCAGGAGCTAAGACTCATCAGCACATGCTGCTAAAGGAGAGGGTGGTTGGCTGGGGGCAGCAGGGGGCAGGGCTAGGAGCAAGGGGGTTTGGCCCAAAGCCACAGTGCTGGGGCATTAGCAGAAGCACAGTTGATCCAGGAGGCCTCTCAGCATCGCTCAGCTGGTGTCCCACGAGCAGCTCTGCTGGGGTGGCTGGTGCTGCCATGCAGACACAAGGCTCCGCCGGAGCTTTAAAAAAGAACTGGAGAAAGAAGCGGGGAGCTGTGTGCCAGCCACCAATTATTTCAGTGTCTAAAAGTCCTTCCTCCTCCTAGAGGGAGCGTGTCTGGGACGGCATCCCACCCAAACAAATGGGCCCTGACAAGCAAAGACGTCTCCTGCTCAGACTTGGATTGCATCCTGCAGAGCCCGGCCCCCTGGGGGGACCTTAGCATCCCATCTGGGGACAGGCCAAAGGGATGCTGGCCCTGTCCGGTGTCCCTGCCACAGCTGTGTGTACAGCACACCTCCTGCACAGGCCTCAGGGCTGTCGTGCTCGTTACCAAGGCCGTTACTCTCATTGAAGGCTTGGGCTTGCTTTGCACTTGGAATAAATTAATCTTCATTGCTAGATCAAGAGGAGATACTCTCTTTGGCTGCCAAGGAGGAGAAATCCCAGGAGACATTCAGGAGAGAAAGACTCATACACACGTCCTCTTCAAACACATACAATCGACAGGTCAGCTCAGGATTGTTTCCCACATGGTTCCTTGGCTTGCCACCGTGTTCAGAGCCCAACACACATTGCCATGGGCAGTGTCTGCCCCTGTGGTAGGACACAGACGTTTCTGAGGTGTGATTAGTCAGATGGTTCATGCTCCAGCAGTATCAGTCTCTCCATTGATAAAACGGGGTTTGAGATGGCCAGTCAGAGAGGGACCTGGGGGGGGGTTGATTGCCAGCCGGCTGAACAGGAGCCAGCAGTGTGCCCAGGGGGCCAAGAAGGCCAATGGCATCCTGGCTTGTGTCAGCACTGGCGTGGCCAGCAGGGACAGGGAAGGGATCTGAGCCCTGGGCTCGGCACTGGTGAGGCCGCCCCTCAATTCCTGGGTTCAGTTTTGGGCCCCTCACCCCAAAAAGGCCATTGAATGACTCGAGCGTGGCCAGAGAAGGGCAACGGAGCTGGTGCAGGGTCTGGAGCACAGGTCTGCTGGGGAGCGGCTGGGGGAACTGGGGGGTTTAGTCTGGAGGAGGCTGAGGGGAGACCTCCTGGCCCTCTGCAACTCCCTGCCAGGAGGGGGCAGAGAGGGGGGATGAGTCTCTGGAGCCAAGGAGCCAGCGCCAGGCCCCGAGGGAATGGCCTCAAGCTGCCCAGGGCAGGGTCAGGCTGGCTCTGAGGAAGGATTTCTGTGCAGAAGGGGCTGTTGGGCGTTGGAATGGGCTGCCCAGGGCAGGGGGGGAGTCCCCGGGATCCCTGGAGGGGTTGAAGAGTCGGGCTGA